AGATGGAGCGGGAGGGTGAGCGGGGGAGGAGGAAGAGGATGGGAAGAAGGAAAGGAATGGGTTGGGGTTGGGGGTTGGGTGGGTGGGTTGGTTGGTTCGGGGATAGGGAGTGGGGGCGCCAAAGTCCGAGATGTCATACGGTGGGACGCGGTCTGTGCGACGACCGGCGGCTCCCCCCGGGATCCTCTGCGCCGCCCACGGAGAACAGGCGGCGTCGTGTTTTCGGTCGCACGGGCTTTGGACGCGCGACTTTGGCGAGGCAGCTCTCCACGCCTCCGTCCATCGCGGTTATACCTGTGAGATAGGAGGTCAACGTGCGTGCCACTGCAAATGTTTTCAAGCGTCTGATTTCGTGTGCGTTGATTAGCATGGATGCATTCCACGGAAAGTTTGTCACCGCGGATCGTGAAGTCAACACTCACGCCTTGCTATCGACGGGTACATCAATCACCTACCACCAGTCGACGTGTAGGAAACGTCAAACCTAGGGTTTTGATATCGGCTATGCCGGGATAGGATCGACGACTATCGGGAGCGGGGCCCATGCCGCCGAGCGAAACAACAATGGGCAGATTTCATAAGAGGGCCCGCATTCGTAGCACGGGAGCAGGGGTTGCGGATTCAATGATGCCGAAGGGTCCCGGAATGGAGCCTAATTGGGTCTCGCTTCATCAGATGTTTGGATGGTACGCATTTCTCAGTTCGGATGGTTTGTCCGTAAGGTTGTTTCTAGATGGATATGTAAATATACATGTTAGTGTCAACATCCTCATACATATTTTGATTTTGCGGAAGCCAAGTATATATAGGTTGTACCTCGCGGGCTATATTGCTCTTAGATCCAGATTAGGCTCATGCTTTAAGATTTCTATATATTTTTGTCATGTTTGTCTATCATATCTCATTTTCTTACCTTAATAAAATAACTTTACCATGCCAACATGTCTAAAACAAGATCAGTATGGTTTGTATTCAACTATTACTTGTTCATCAACTCATTTTCATGTCTAACGTGCATGTAAATGGATGAGTAATGCAATACATTGGAGTAATTAGCAAAAACCATCAAAATTGCAGTTGGGGTCGCAAAAAAACGCCATTTTGGTACTTTCCACTAAAATCTATCGGTATTGTGCCTAAATTTTGCAAAAACACTAGTGTGGTGTAGCCCACCAGAGGTAAACAATCCGCACTGTTTTCTTGAATATTAGTTTATAATATATTGTTGTTGAGATTCTAGAGTGGTAGGTTTAGCACTAAATAGTCAAAGTCATTGTGGAAAATGAGAAAAAAAAATACGTATGATTCATCATTTATTTCTTAATCAATGGAATGTGACACTATGACCCATTTGGCTATTTTGAACAAGTCATGTATTGGAAGGAAAGTTCCAAGGGAATACCCAATGTACTTAATTTGAGGTTGCTCCACGCCTCCGTCGCGGTTATACGTGTGTGTGGTAGGAGGTCAACGTGCGTGCCACTGCAAATGTTTCAAGCGTATGATTTCGTGCACATTGATTAGCATGGGTGCATCTCAAGGAAAGGTTGTCACGGCGGATCATAAAGTCAACACTCACGCCTTGCTATCGACGAGAACATCACCTAATCCGCCCAGATGAAATGTACACGTCAAACATAGGGTTTTGATATCTGTTAGGCCGGGATAGGATCGACGACTATCAGGAGCGGGGCCCATGTTGCCGAGCGAAACAGCAATTGGCAGATTTCATAAGAGGGGTCGGCCGCATTCGTAGCACAGGAGCAAGGGTTGTGGATTTCGTGGTGCCGAAAGGGTAAGCCTAATTGGGTCTGGCTTTATCAGGTGTTTGGATGATACACATTTCTCGGTTCAGACGGTTTATCCGTAAGGCTGTTTTAACTGTTAGATGGATTTATAAATATACATGTTATGTTAGTGTCAACATCCTCGTATTTGATTTTGCGGAAGCGAAATATATATAGGTTGTACCTCGCGGGCTATACTCCTCTTTGATCCAGATTAGGCTCGTGCTTTGAGATTCCTATATATTTTTAACATGTTTGTCTATCATATTCTCATTTTTCTACCTTAATAAAATTAACTCTACTGTGCCAACATGTCTAAAACAAGATCAATATGGTTTGCATTCAACTATTACTTATACATTAACTCATTTTTCGTGTCTAACGTGCATGTAAATGGATGAGTAATGTAAATCAACCATTTACATTGGAGTAAATAGCAAAAACCATCGAAATTGCAGTTTGGCTTGCAAAAAATCACCATTTTGGTACTTTCCACTAAAATCTATCGGTATTGCGCCTAGTTTTTGCAAAAACACTAGTGTGGACAAGCCCACCAGAGGTAAACAATCCACACTGTTTTCTTGAATATTAGTTTATAATATATTGTTGTTGAGATTCTGGAGTGGTAGGTTTAGCACTAAATAGTCATCATTGTGGAAAATGACAAAAAAATGTATGATTCATCATTTATTTCTTAATCAATGGAATGTGACACTATGACCCATTTGGCTATTTTGAACAAGTCATGTACTGGAAGGAAAGTTCCAAGGAAATGCCCAGTGTACTTAATTTGATTCTTTTTAACATCAAACTACTGGAACTGGATTAATGAAGAAACACCCATGTCTGAAATTTTTGTAGGTCAACTCAAAGTTACCATAGAGTTCATACATGTTTGTATTCCTTTTATAGTATTCCTACTGACGCTTGGACCCAGTCAGGTTGTCGGGTGGTAGGTGCGACATATGCCAACGGGTGGCTTATCATTGTGGGAGCCAGTAAGACGTCGCCGGTGCCTGGAAACGGGATGAGGCGAAGACATGCACGCCGGCGAATCTTACCCAGCTTCGGGGCTCTCCGTGGAGATAACACCCCTACTGCTGCTCTGCGGGGTCTCCATATGATCACTAGATGGACAAGTAGCTACACAATGCTCCTTGAGCTGTTTGGTGGGAGGAGGAAGAAGGGCACGGCTAGCTTGCTTCTTCTCCCTGTGTGGTGTCTAAAGCTAGCTGGGGGTCCAACCCTTTGCATGGGTGCCCCGGGGGGTTTATATAGGCCTACCCCCCGGGGGTACAATGGTAATCCGGCTGGGCGCGGGGCCCAGCCGTCTGTGACTGCGCTCGCCGGCTTCTGCGCCGGCTGCTGGGGCCCGCCAACTGGTGGGTCCCGCCGGCTGCCGGCCCCTTGGTCGACAGGCAGGCCCCACTGTCTAGGACCTGATCGGCGGCTGATCACTGTTGCTCTATCTTGGTGACGTGGGCTTCATCGTGG